ACGCAACCCGTGCGTCGACCGCGAGCACGTCATCGTACCGGTGTGCTCAGGACGGCAATCAAAAAGGAGCAGCAGCGGAATTTGAGGGCACATCCTTGAATTGGTGGCTCTTCTCGCCAACGCTACCCGCATTGGAGTGGCAAACGGTTTTGTCCACATTTTCAATCGCGGTGGAATTTTTACTTGTGCTACTTGGATGCATTTTGCAAGCTCGTTCCATCATCACACGTCGAAATTTCCAACTCCTTGTCGGGATGGACCCTCCAGCCCTTCCGTTTGCAATGCCAGTTCCCGAGCTTAACCTGCTCGGCAAGTGACAGCTATCGCTTCCAATTTTGAAGCGCTTAACCTGTCGAAGTTTTGCCGCGATCCTAAGTCCAAGCAACCGGATCCGGAAACGAAGAAGGTGACGAAAGGTCATGGCGGGGATTGTGTTTGCATAGTTGCATTGATGATGAACACCAATGGCCGAATTGCGGCGTTGAAGGGCGAGCTGCAAGCGCGTCATGCATGCGCAAGGAAGAGAAGAGCTGGATGTAGGAAAGCAAGTCTATTAAAGGATCACTTCACTTCTCGATTTCCCTTCTTGGTCTTAAGTCGCCGGCTATCCCCCTGCCGCTTTGTCTTCCTCGACCGACGATCTTCCTACAAAACACGTGAGTTCAAGAGGTTCTGAGCCCAACACAAGGTTCCCACCAACAAGAAGGAACATGGCGAACATCATCCTCACACGCAAGCTCAACGACCACAACTTCCGCGAATGGGACATCTACTTCCGCGGGAAGCTCATCTTGAAGGGAATGCATCAGGTCCTGACTCACATGCCAACGTCATCACCTTGGACGCGAGAAGCGACGACCAGAAGGCATTCGGGATCCTCATCGATACGTTGGAACCCAGCAGTACCGCCACATCGAAGGATACACACACGTCCGCATCGCCTACGAAGCGCTGGTAGCCCACCATAAACCAATGACGAAGATCGACCGGATCCAGGTCGCGATGGAGTGGGCCAAGATGTCGTGGGACCCGCGCCAAGAGACTCTGCCGGATTCATCTACCGGTTCCAGATCCTCGTCCAGCGCCTATCGGACGTGAGCCACAGTGACAGAGTCGAACCAAGCGGTCAAACTACTTCCATTGATGCCGTGGGAGTTCCGCCATATTGTCGATCGCTTGTCGAACCTTCCCGACAGTGAGAAAACCGTCGCCAATACGAAGATCGCGCTTGAAGCCGAGTGGAAGGCAGCCGTCCGGGGCGGCACCATCAAGACACCACGCGGCCAAGCCAACGAATACCGCGCCTTGTTCGCCGCTTGTGGCGGCGCGCCCAAGGAAGCAGTGGTCGCGGACATGGCCGAGGTTGTGGCGCGTCCCGAAGTGGCCAAGCCGAACGAAGCGACCGTCCCTCGGCCAAGGGCACCTGCCACTCCTCTGGCAAAGAAGGGCACTGGCAGTCCGAGTGCCGCAAGAAGGTCCGCGAGAACGGCCGGCCAAACTTCAAAGAGCATCGGTCCGACGGGGAGGAAGATCACTCCAACGCAGCCGTCTTCATGTTCTCAGCGACTGAAAGCGGCGTGACAAGATCGATCTAAGCCAAGGAGAGTCCGACGTTGAGACGAAGGACGATGACGGACAACCTACCCACGACGCGGCCGAAGACAACAGACCCATCTTCCTCGGAGAACCCAGAGAGGCACTTCCGCTACGCACCGACCCCGACTGGCATCCTACAGTCCAACCAGTGAGGCTGTTGTTCATCAACGACAGCCCGTCGCCAACATGGGTTACCTTCATGAGCCGAACCAACCTCGAAGCCATGTACCACGGGACCACGATCGAAGCCTACACCACAGTTGCAGAAATCCCGCCGTGGTTAACCCGACGCTACTTGGTCACCAAGTACGATATCCGTGCCATCGAATGCCGATCCCCGAAGTCGACGGATACAGTCCATGGCTAGGGCCGGACGCCAACGAATCATACATCTTAGACACCGCATTCCACTCAACGGAATTGACGTACAACGGCGACGCACTTAACATCCGCCGCAACCAACGGCGCCACATCAACGAAGACGATCCCGAAGCCGACTTCGAAGTCGCATCATCCTATGATGGCAGCAACGACAGCGACACCAGCGACATGGCATACTCGGTCGAAACGAGTGACACACGTACCATCGAGCACCGCATCGTCGTCGATTCCGGCGCGTCCGCCCACATGACCGGCGCCAGCGAGCACCTGTTTGATACGAAGCAGTGCAACCGTCTAGTGGTCATGGTCATGGCAGCGTCACCGTCGCAACTACCATGGGGAAGCTCAACATCAGCACGCCCTCACGCACAACACTTACCCTGACCGATGTGCTCTTGATCAAGGGTATGTCGACGACACTCCTGTCCATCCCGATGTTGATGCGGGCCAACCCCAACGTCCACCTGGAGTTCCAACAAGATGCGTGCACGATCCTGCTCGGTTACAAGTCAGTGGCACGCGCTACAATGAGCAATGATCAGCGACTGTACATCCTGGACGGAGTCTTCACCCGCGAAGCAGCACACTCCGCCGTTGTCACCGACAACACCGCACTCTGTCACCACCGCATCGGTCACTTACCTGTGGAAGCGTTGCGAACATGCGCCAAGGCAGGCCTCGGGCTGCCTTCTCGCATCAACGACTTGTCTAAGCCGTGCATGGACTGCCCCCGCGCCAAGATGCACCGCGTGACCGTCCCTAAACGCAGCACCCGGACCTACAAGC